GTATTAGGGTGCTTATCTTTCCAACATTAATATTCTCTTTTTTTTTCATATTTTTCAATTTACTAGATGTGAAGTGAAACCTCAAGATTTTTTAAATTCATGTTTCTCTCATTATTAATTTAGAGCATTCTTTAAATGGTTATTACTAGTCTGCAATTCTTATTTTGAGAACTATTTGTTCATAGCCTTTGATATGAACAAATTTTTCTCTTAGAGAATGAATTTTTATATTACATACTTGTTTTATATGTAACATAATTATAAATTTATATTTTGCATATCAGACCTTATATTATAAATATTATATTAATACCTTATTATAGTATAAATAATATATATTATAAATATTAAATGCCAAGAATTTTTCCCAGCCAACACCCTTTCTTGTCCTAGTTGCATTAATTTTGTTCATGCAAAAGCTTTTCAATTCCATGCAATCAAAATTATCTATTTCACCTTTTATGATTGACTCTATCTTTTCTCTGTTATAAAGAATTCACCTCCTGCCCCTACCTGTGAGAGGTATATGATCTGCTTCTTTTTTAATTTTTTATGGTATGATCTTTGATATTCAAATCACATAGCCATTTTGAATTTATTATAAAATATGGTGTAAGATGTTAGTCTAAACCCGATTCATGCCAAATTGTTTTCTAGTTTTCCCAGCAATACTCCAAGGAGTGCTTTCCTAAATAAATTATATTTGGGGGTTTATTTAGTACTCACTTATTGAATTCAATTATTACTGATTCTTCCTTGTTTAGCCTACTCCATTAGTGTACTTTCCTATTTTTTTAAACAGTACCAAATAGTTTTGATGATTGAGGTTTGCTACTTCAAAGCCTTTTATAATTTATTTGCATATATATGTTACCTGATTATTTCAACAAATCACATAGTTATTAAAATAGAATTGTTGACCTCCCCCTGCTACTTTGCAGAGGATATTGTGGTATATTGTATATAATGCCCTTTTTTAGAAATGTATTGATAGATTTTGCTGTATTTTTTTCACTCTTGATTTTTTTTTAAGTGGGGAGGGACAGGATAGCTTCCTGGAAGGAGGAAAAGGCTGAGATGTGAGGGAAAATATAGAGAGTATAAAATAAAAAGATATTGATATAAATCTATTTTTTTAAAGTGTGAATTGTTGAATCCTATAAATAGGGGAGCTATAACTAAGGAGAGGGGAAGGCAACCTCAGGAAGAGGGCTCAAGAGAAGAAATAGAATTAGGGTTACAGAGACTTTGTATTTTTGGTAATTTGAGGAAGCATGCTTCTTGAGTTTTGAGGCTAATTAGAGGGGCAAGGAATAAAATACCCTTTACCACCATGAATGGGGTAAAGTTCATGATCAAATGATAGAAAGGACCATATAAGATGATGATAAGGATGATAATGATGATAGTTAGCATTTACATTGAACTTTAAGGTCTGCAATGTGCTTTACAAATATTAACTTATTCTATCCTCACAACAACCCTAGGAGATAGGTACATCGCCACCTTACAGAGGAGGAAACTGAAGTAGAGAGAGGTTAAGTGAATTACCTAGAGTTATACAGCTAGTAAATGTCACAGCTAGGTCAGATTTGAATTCCAATCTTCCTGACTCCAAGTCCAGCTCTATCCACTGCACCATCTTGCTGCCTAAATTAAGTGAATAATTTTCACTATATACAATTGAAATGTCTTTGTACAAACAAAATCAATGTAGTTAAAACCAGAAGGGAAACAGTTAACTGGGGGAAAATCTTTGTAGTTTCTCTGATAAAGGTTTAATATCCAAGATATATAAGGAGCTGATTCAAATATTTAAGAATTGCAACCATTTTCCAAATGGATATGAACAGGAAAGAAATCTAATCTGGATTGATTGGAATATGCCATATGAAAAAAATGCTCCAAATCACTGCTAATTAGAGAGATGCAAGGGTTTTTTTTTGTTTGTTTGTTCATTTTAGGGAGGCAATTGGGGTTGCCCAGGACCACACAGCTAGTAAGTGTCTGAGGTCACATTTGAACTCAGGTCCTCCTGACTCCATGGCCAGTGTGCTCTATCCACTGCCCCACCTAGCTGCCCCTAGAAAGATGCAAGTTAAAACTACTATACCTACCAGATTAGCAAAGAGAAATTTAGTGTTGGAGCAGCTCTGTCCAGAGGACAGTGTCACCATTTCATCATTCAATTGAATGGTAAGGATAAAAGCCAGATTACAGAGAATTAAAGGAATGGGGAAAGAAAGTGGAGGAAACTAGTGTAGATGGTTTTCTCTAAGACTTTAACCTTAGCCATGAAAGGGAAAAGTATAGAATGGTAGTTAGAAAGGATGATTGGTTCAAGTGTGAGATTATTTAAGATGAGGGAGACATGGGAATGTTTGTAGGCAGCAGGGAAGGAGCCAATAGGTAGAAAGAGATTGAAGTTTAGAGAAAGAGTAGGGATGATGGTGCTGGAGAAGACAAGAGGGGACATGATCAAGGATGTATGTGGAGGCATGGGCCTTGGTAAAGAGAAGGACTAGCTCTTCATCAGAGATGGAGCTGAATAATGAGTTCATGGAGCTGAGGTAGATGGAAGTAAGGAAGCAGCATTTGAGGATGAGGACAAGGGTTTGTACATTGGTAGCTGGGGGTTCAGAATCCCTGGAATGGGGAAAGTATAAGGATGCAGGAGTATGCTAATTATTGAGGAATTAGTCCAGGCAGAGTATCAGTGGTTGGACAAAAGACCCTTAAAGGGAAGCAGGTTAATAGATTGTTCAGGGTCCTCCTCAAAATCCAAAATAGAGGCTATTTGTTGTAAGGTCTTCTCCCTAATTCTAAATCTTATAACCCTTAGAAATCACCCTTCATTTTCTCCTCCTTCACTTCTATCTTACCACGAAGAGGTAACCCTTCTCCCTGCCAAGGCTGACCACTCTTCTTGTACCCTTGATCCTATCCCTTCCCATCTCTCTCCTCATTCTACCTCCTCCCTCAAATTACCTTGTTTTTTTTAATTTAGACCTGTGATTTAATGGTGTAGGAAGCTTCTGTACAGCAATTTCTTCTTCCAATGCAAATTTACAAATATCCTGTAACTTACAATCATAGGCAATTGCTTGAGGTGTACAGGGAGGTTAAGTGATTTACCCAGGGTCACTCAGCCAGGATGGCTGGACTTAACCTAGGCCTTCCTGGTTCTGAAACCAACATTTCACTCACTATGATATGACCACCTTGTATTTACTTTGTATATATTTCAGATGAGTAATATTGATTGCAAACTCCTCCTTGAAGGCAGTGACTCTGTGTGTGTGTGTGTATGTGTGTGCCTGTGTGTGTGTGTGTCTGTGTGTCTTTATAACTCCAGTGCCTCACACAGTACCTAGCACACAGGTATTAATGAACACTTTTTGAATTGATTAATTCCTGGATCATGTGGCATTGGAGTTAGGATTTAAAGTTTTTATTTGATAATGAGAGAGATGATAAATAGAGGTGATGTTTTATCAAATAATCAGAGTCTTGAGATGAGAGTGGAGTGACTGGAATGTTCAGTCAGGTTAAGAAGAGTATAACCCATTTTGTTCAGTTGTGTTTGACTCTTCACGACCCCATTTGGGGTTTTCTTGGCAAAGATACTGGAGTGATTTGCCATTTCCTTCTCCAGCTCATTTTACAGATGAGGAAACTGAGGAAAACAGGGTTAAGTGACTTGCCCAGGGTCACACAGCCAGTGAGTGTCTAAGGCTGGATTTGAACTCATGAAAATTAGTCTTGACTCCAGGCTTAGTGTTCTATCCACCATTCCACCTAGCTACCCTTAAGACATCATTACTAAGGAGCAAAGGTCTGGATGGGTTTAGGGGAAATCAAGGACAGGGGTGAGGGAAGGAGGTGGGGGTCAGGAACATAATAGCACTGCTGACTTGGATGGGAGTGGGGTGTTCAAGTAAAAAAAGAGAGGGAACTGAAAGAAAGAGGAGAGGTGGACAGATCCTTTCACACAGACTTGCCTGGGGCCAGCTGTTTTCAAAATGAAGGGAATAAGGCCAGTGCCATGAATTTGAATAAAAAATGTGGCTTGAGTCACGCCAATATGGCACACCTCTGCCACTGATATTTAACCTAGTGGTCAGGGTCATATCTAAAGAAACTTCTTAAAGCCATGTAAATGGGAAAAACTAGTCATATGGTAACAGCACTACAATAGTATTGTAGAATATGCAGCAATATACCATAGAATACAACAGTATCCGTAGGATTATAGTGTTGGCATTGGAAAGGACCTTGGGAATTATCCCATTTTATAGTACCGGTTAGGAAACTGATTATCCCATTTTATAGTACCGGTTAGGAAACTGAAGTCCAGAAGGGAAGTGCTTATATAACCCTGAATCAGTTATATGAAAGGCATTTTTATTAAAGCACTCCTGGGAGTTTATTGATTGTTTTGTTAGAGATTTTTCAAGTACATTGTCATCGTACAACATTTATATAACACATTAAAAATGTTACCATACCAAAAATTAACTTCAAAAAAAAAAAAAGACGAGTATAACCCAAATGTTCCATTGAGAGGGGGAGCACAGGTGGGTGGAGCAGGAGAGAATTCTGTATGGCCTAGGACCAAGGTGGAGGGGGCCAAAGGGCCCTTGAAGAGGCAGGAAAAAAGGATTTATGGACTGTTCTGTTTCAAACTAGGAGTATGTATTGGGGAAGCAGCAGGGAGGTAGCCAGAGGAAAACATACAGGAAATCACGGAGAGCCAGGACCTGGGGTGGAAGAAAAGGATGGAGAGGGATAAAGACTGAAGGATTCCTGAGTTGAACCCCTCCAGATTCTGTCTGTCTTCCTGCAGAAAGACTTCCTGCCCTCAGACCCTGGGAGGAGGGCGGAGATAGCAGGGAGAGAATGGGTTGTTACAATACCAGCATGTTGCCAAAGAAAAGAGATAAGAGTGTGTGTGACAGCGACCCCAACCCAAATTAAACTCAGAGACCTCATGGTGGAAAGTAAAGGTTACCTTTATTACAATCCCGCGAGATGACTGTCTGCTCGAGAGAGGAGAGAGGAGTACGAGAGAGAGAGAGAGAGAGAGAGAGAGAGAGAGAGAGAGAGAGAGAGAGAGGGAGCCGGTAACAGAGGCCGCCTTATAAAAGCAAATCTCCGCCCACCGCGCAAACAAGCCTCTACCCACCACTATCCCTTACCCCCTTGCCCCCTTACCTGGGGGTGGGCTTACATTCTAAGCTTGAAAGGTTGGGGGTGGGGCAGGGCTTATTCTTTCTGCTAAGTGCTTAAAAACAGGGTCTGAGTGGGGGAGGATTTTGAAAGTAATAATATCAAGAATTATTTGACCCTTTGAGGAGCCTTCACTTCTGAGAGTTCATTTTTCACACTACCTTCTGAACTCATTACCTTAATTACACTGAGAAGTCTTCACTGGGACATCCCATTCAAGAGGAAGGTGCCCCCAAGGCTTCTTAGCAACAGAGAAGGCTGAAGAAGAAAGCCTTCTGCATTTGTTCTCCATTTTTCAGCATGTGGGAACCCACATCCTTGGCATAGAATTTCTCCTCCCTCTGAATTATCAGCTTCCTCTGTGCTGGTCCTATCCATGTCCTCAATCAGATTTCTCATCTGTAAAATAAAGAGGTTGGAGCAGATGACCTCTGAAGTTCATTTTAGCTCTGGATCTATGATCCTACAATCCACCTCCCATCTTTACATTCTCCTCTCCTTGTATGACCTCTTTATTCCCTCAACCCTCTCCCTTCCCCGACATCTTCCTCACAGTTGTTCAGTTGCTGTGAAGTTGAACTCTCACCCGTTGCTGGGAAGATGTGGATGAGGAAGAACGCAAAGCAAGCTGTGGCTGCTGGCACCCCGCCTTCTCCTCTGGCCCCAGTGCCAGGACAGGACAGGCCTCCCCCTTGGCCCAGACTCAGGACAGGGAGGACAACAGAATGTCATTGGGAAAACATGTGGGAGGGAATCCAATGTCCTCTCTCATCCCCAAAACAAATGAGGTCATTGTGCCACCGAGCTCAGGAACAGAGAGCTGGGCAAAGCCCTGGAACCTCCAAAGGCCAGGGCATGAAGTTGAGGAGGGGGCAGAATGCTGGAAGGGCACAACCCTGGAGCTTCTTAAGACTGGAGCACAAAGCTGAGAGGGGGGCAATCAAGGCAGGGTAAGATGTGCAGGCACAATCCTAGACACTGTGGTGGACCTTAGCACAAAACCAGGGGACAAAGCAACATGAAAAAGGCAAGGTGAGAGAACAGCGTAGGTCTATAGATAAAAGAATTTGATGAGGCTGCCCCAAGACATGGGGGCTGGCAGAGAAGAGAAAGCCACAGAACTTCTCTCCACCTCCCTACTCTCTTATGAAACTTGTACATTTTCTGAGCCTTTCCCGGAAATTCCCGAGCATGACTTCAGGGTATTCTGTGTATGGTTGATGATTGGTCTCTGTACCCATTTCCCAGATAATTCTAATACAAAGAAAATTTGGATTAGATATGCCAATACTGTGACCAACTTCCGGCTTACCCTGACCCACTCAGACCAAGGCATTTACTTACCCTCAATAAAGTTATTGTTTAAGTAGCTCTTTTCAGTCATTCTGCCTTTTCAGATCTTTTCTGAACTTACTGCTTTTCCTTTATGGTCTTTCCCAAGAGATTCATATTTCACTCTTTTCTTTTGTGCCCTTCTATGGAAGAATAGTCTTGCGTTTAGAGACCTCAGCCACCTAATCCTATTTCTGCCACTAACTCACTATCATCAGAGACAAAACACATCCCTTTCTCTTGACCTTAGTATCATTATCTGCAAAAGTAAGAGAGTCTCAGTCTGGTACCTATGGATAGGTTGACTGATTGTCAGGAGAGTCCAGGAGTCCCTAGCTTTGACTCTGGCTACGGATTTACCAGTGATACCATGAGACAAATCACTTCCCTTCTCTGGCATTTGATTTTCTCATCTGTAAAATGAGGATTCATAATAATTCCCTCAAAAAGCACCACATACATGTGAGCAATTATTGCTTTTTTTCTTTAGTGGACTGGGTGTCAGAATATCGAGGGACTGGCCCTGCCATTTATCAGTTGTGTGATCCTGAGTAAGTTATCTCATCCCCCCCAACCTTGATTTCTTCAGCTGTAAAATGGGATCAATAATATTAGTACTACAACCCTTCAGGGCTGTTGTTAAGAAAGCGATTTGTAAATTCTACAGAAATGTGATGTATGTTATTAGAAGTGGTAACACGTGATGCTCTTTACATGTCCTGCACACGGTAAGCCTCTTTGACAAAGGTTTATTGAATTAAATCAAGGCCCAGTTGCTGCCTTGGCCTTTGGTTCTGGTACAGGGTCCGGGGCACGTAGGCTAGGGCTGACTCAGCCTCAGCTCCAGCCTCTTTGGTCCTTGCCTCAAACTTCCCGAGTCAGCTTCTTCCAAGTGACTTTGCGGAAGGGGGTAGGCCCTCCCAGTGGCTGATGTGCGGCTCAGACAGCAGTGACCTTTCCCCTACTAAGCTGTGCTGCCAGGACTGCACATCTGCCTCTCAAGCTAGGAGGAAGGAGCCAGCCCAGGTGGGGGGTGGGGGGTGGAGGGGAGGGAAAAGAGCTCTGGTATTTGAGTCCCTGGGCCTGGAGGAGGAGGGCAATGCCAAGCATCTCCACCCTGGGGGGGGAGGCACTTCTCCGAGGACGGGAAGAACATTAGCTCCCTAGTTCCCCCGGCCTTCCTAGGAGGTCTGGGGGGATAGCCAGGAGTCCCCACATCTCAACTAGAGGGAGGAGCTGCGAATCCCTTTCAATCTCCAAGAAGAGGGAGGATATTGGGGGAGGAAGAGGGCACTTCGGCACCGTCTCTTTGAAGCTGGAAACCTGAGACCCGCCCCACTTCAGGACACACCCACCCGTCCCCCAGGGCCTGGCTACAGCTCATAAAATGGGGCTCGTTCACTGAGTGGACAGCTGCAGTACAGGACGGACACTGGGCGCACCTGAAAGTAAAGGAGAGTAGGATCTCTAGTGAGTCTCCATCTCAGCTACAGCGCCCAGGCCACCCTCTTGGAGCCCAGCACTTCGGTTAATAAAAAGATGCGTTGTGCCCCAAGTACTGGAGCTGCGCTGGTGCTATGTGCCGCCACTGCGGGGCTACTGGGCGCAGCCGCTGCCAGCCGAAGCGAGGTCCGCCCGGGGGCCCCCGAGCTCCGAGTGCCCCGCGCGGGGCCAGACGCCAAGTATGCCTCGTGGGACGAGGTGAACGTGATCGCTCACGGGCTCCTGCAGCTCGGACACGGGCTTCGGGAGCACGTGGAGCGGACGCAGGGCCAGGTAAACGACATCTACCGTCGTCTCCAAGCCCGTGACCCTGCCTGCGAAGATCCTCTGCGCCGCGCCTGTCACAGCCCTGAGGGCACCCAACTGCAAAGCCCCGAGGAGAGCCCAGTGGAATTGGCTGCCCAAGGCACTGACAGCCACTTGGAGCCGAAAGAGGTGGCCCAACAGAAGACCGAGCTCCAGCACTTGGAAGTGGATGATGGCCAGAGGGTAAAGACCAGCACTGGGGGCGCCGTCTGGAGAGCTGTGCACAGCTTGCAAGTAAGGGACACTCCCTCTGTACTCTCTTCCCTTGTCTTTCCTTCCGAGGCTGGCTGATCTTCCTTTATACATCCTCCCAAGGTCCTTTTGGCACTTTATTTTAGCCTGCTTGTGTTCTTTCTCTTAGACTCTTTTCCAGTTCTAAATCTCTGATGCTACTAACCCTCAGATTCCCCTCTTTCACTCCTTTAATACCTTCTCCATCTCCTCCTATCTGCTGTCCCTGGGTCCTATGCTCCCCAACCCCTCGAAATCAGGTTGTTCCCCCAGGGTTCCTTCTGCCTTGCCCCTTCAATCCATCCCTGGCCTGGAGTCCCATTTACCCTCAGGTCACAAGAGATTTCCCTATCCATGACACCAGCTCCCTCCAACTGACCCCATGAACCCATTTCCCTTTCTTTCATGACCCCAGACCCAGCTTCGAGCTCAGAACAGCAGAATTGAGGAATTGTTTCAGAAAGTGGCCCAGCAACAGCAGCACTTGGAAAAGCAGAACTTGAAGATTCAAACACTGCAGAGCAAGGTAAGCTCCTGAACTGACTGGAACCTAAGGTAGGGATGGGGTAGGGATGAAGGCAGCTCTCAGAGGCCTTTCAGCTTCTGCTTCTCAGAACTGAGAACTGCAATTTCTCAAACAGGCTCTGAGCCCACCTTCTCTCTCTCTCCCTGATCCGTTTCTCCTCATCCTGGACCTAGCTGTTACTTCTCTTCTGTCTGCAGCTCCAGGGCCTGACTCCTTTACAATTGGGGCAGATACCACTAAGGCCTATGGGAAAGAAGAATGCCCTGAAGATGGCTCGACACATTCACCCAGTCCCCAACAGCAGTGACAAGCCTAGTAAGTCCTGGGTCTCATCTGACTTCCAGCTCCTGCACCTCCTCTGCCCCAGCCTCAGGACATGATGAGTTTCTGGACTTACCTTCAGCCAGTCTTGGGGAAGACTTGCTAGTCTAGAGTTGGGAAGAAGTCTTATAAAACACCCACCTCCCCTGCTGCCTAGTGTCTTCAGAATACCCTGCTCCTGCTCCTGAATACATCTCTTGCCTAGTCCTACCCTACCTAAACAGCTGTTCCCAGCCTTCCCTCTAATCAGGGAGAAGAGATATGAAGGCAGCTTCTGCTCTGCCTTTCCTCCGATAAAGTATACTTAGCCCCAGTAGGAACTCCACATCTCGTTTCCACTCGCCTAGTTTTTACTGTGTGTCCACAGTCATGCCTTGAGAGAAATAAGGCCTGTTTTTCTGCCTTCAGTGTCTTATAGAGCAGAGATACATATATAGAACAGCCAGGGAACAAGAGGAAGGATAAATGTGATTCCAACCATATAGACTTCTGTTGAATACAAGTTGAGAAGTGATCAGTAAGTTGGTCAGGGAGGTCTTTTTAGATGAGGTGTTAAAGGAAGTGATACAAATGGATAGATGGGGAGAAGTCAATAGGGTGTTTCAGAAAACCCAAATGGAACAAGTGAAATGCTATAGCTATTTACTTGAGGTTCAGGGAATTTCAAGGAGAAATTACCACTCAGCCTAGAATATAACAGCTTGGCTGGAGTATAAGCCTGTTGTAGAGGGGAATAATGAGGGGAAGGTTTGGGGAGACCTGTTGAAGGCCATGCTAAATTCAGATTTTATCCAAAAGGCAATGGGGAACCACTGTAAGTTTTGAGTGACGTGATCATATCCTAGGAAGACTCATCTAGCATGAGCTCCTGGGTGGACAGGAAGGAGAGGAAATAAGGGAAGAAATACCACTTCAACTGTAGAAGATGATGGAAACCTCAGGATTTTCAGCACAGTCTCACAGCTACACACACACACACACACACACACACACACACACACACACACACCCACATACACACACACACATACACACCACACACACACATGCATACACACACCCAATCTTGGGGCATCTGTCAAAAATGCCATGTTCCTTCTCTCTCATGTACTGTCCTTCATTGATATATTTACTTTGTATCTCTCCCATACATAATATGCCTGTATCTCAAGGCTGACATCCAATTGGGAGAAAGTTGCCTTTCTCTTTTCACTTAGCCTAGAGCAATTCTTGGTGACTTCCTGATGGCCTGGTTGTCACCTGTTGGTTTCCCCATCCCTATTCTGGCCTACTGGGGCCAAGGCTGCTGGTAGCTGAGGAGGCAGATCTAAACTACTTTTTCTCAGGGTCTCAAGCTTCTCCTGTCCCAAGATTTTCCTTGTCTGGGAGAACCCAGTGGCCCCTACCTACTATGTAGAGGGCTCCTGGGAAGAATCTATTAGTCAAAGCTGGGGTTGGAGGGGGG